GTAACTGTGAACCGATCTGTTCAAAGTCTTTCGCCGACAAGTAGTGAATCATTGTTGGGGCGACCGTCTGCCTACCCACCCACCCCTCTATCGTGGTGGTTTTAATGACGTCACTACAAAACGGACTTTGCAGACAAACTGGTGGGGGAGAGAACCTTATAGATTAATGACACACGCATCAGTTTTTTTCTCTTCTTAATTCTCGTTGTTAAAGACATCATAGTTATTATACTAGTAGTAATTTCTACGGTGTAACTATGTATGTATTCTGAACACTTTTAGGGATTATTTCCTGACTTTATACACCCCCAAGAAACTGTTATGATAGGCATACCAACAGGTTCAACATGTTGGGAAAATAAATGTTTTTCGTTTATTCGCGGAATGTTTTTCAAGAACTAACCACTTCTAATTTTGAACTAAGCAGCTAGTTAACAGCACCTACCACGAAATTTAATCGAATAGTAGGATTTGACCGTCACTCCTATGACGCTCCTACGGCTCTAAGATGTTCCGAGTCCTTTTTCTATTGCGACAACGAGACGCGAAACATGGACCAACAGTCCATGAGTCTGGAACGTTTCGTTTGTTTTGTTTTTAATTTCGCGCAAAGCTACACGAGGGCTATCTGCGCTAGCCGTCCCTAATTTAGCAGTGTAAGACTAGAGGGAAGGCAGCTAGTCATCACCACCCACCGCCAACTCTTGGGCTACTCTTTTACCAACGAATAGTGGGATTGACCGTCACATTATATAACGCCCCCACGGCTGAAAGGGGCGAGCATGTTTGGTGTGACATGGAATCGAACCCGCGACCCTCAGATTGCGATTCGAGTGCCTTAACCACCTGGCCATGCCGGGTCCCGAAACGTTTCGTCAGGGCATCCAAGTTAAGAAAGGTTTCAAGTTTTTATGATTGGCGAATTTTGTTACTAGAAACATCTTACTAAATATATGTTTGCAAATGTTCCAAGGTGTTTTGAATTTAGTTTAAAGAATATTAAATTGCACTAAATATATTTGTAGACCTAAATCGTTTTCACTGTAATTTATGTTTTACGTAATACTGTTCATGACACCCCCTGTAACACACCCTCATAACGTTATAACTTTTGAATGGTCTCCAAACGATTATACAATTGAACACCTATTATAACGTTTTTATTATTGTAACCAATCAATTTTTTATATATATATATATAAAACTACCTGTCACAAAATCAACATTCGTAACAAAAACTGTCACAAAAACGATGTAACAAGTTGTCCTAGCAACAATGTGTCCAGATCCCGCAGTCCATATTTTGACACGTTGATCACTTGAATTACAAAGTTTTTGTTTATTGGACCAAACATTCGTAACAAAAACTGTCACAAAAATGATGTAACAAGTTGTCCTAGTAACAATGTGTCCAGATCCTGCAGTCCATAGTTTGACACGTTGATCACTTGAATTACAAAGTGTTTGTTAATTGGACCAGTAGGAAGTAAACAAGACACAGACAGAATTAACAGTCTACCAAAACCTACGTCTTTAAGAAGTGTAAGTACACAGTCTACCCAAACCTACGTCTTTAAAAAGTGTAAGTACATAGTCTACCCAAACCTACGTCTTTAAAAAGTGTAAGCACATAGTCTACCCAAACCTACGTCTTCCCCACTGTAAGATTCTTCTTCGAACAGTGTTAGACGTTAAACAAAAGGGGTGACCTTCCACGATTACCTGAACTTATCATTTTGTGACCAAAAACTACCTTCCAATGTATAGGATACGTAATCAATATCAACATGTCTTAAATCAAAAACACTGAGGTGTGCTTACACTTCTTAAAGACGTAGGTTTGGGTAGACTGTGTGCTTACACTTCTTAAAGACGTAGGTTTGGGTAGACTTTGTGCTTACACTTCTTAAAGACGTAGGTTTGGGTAGACTTTGTGCTTACACTTC